GGGGGGGGGGCGCCGATGAGAGACGATATAGCACAAGAAAGAAAAAAAATGTTTTTTTTCTTCCTCGTGTCTTTTCAACTAGCATCGATGGCCCCGCTAAAGAGCCACCTTCGTAGAGCACGCTCATCGCCGTCAAACTCCTGTATGGAAGGAGATCCTTCTGTTTTGTTTTGTATTTTTTTTGTTTTTGCTGTTTTTTTGTTTAGCTTATTTTGTGTATTTTGTTCTTTCTTTGCTGAGCCGGCGCATTGGGGAGACGCATATTGAAGGAATCAGACAGCCGTTTTCCCTCATCTGAGATCCCTTAGGCCTACTTTCCCTTTCCGTGTTAAAGCAGAACCGAGGGGTGGCGCGTTTTAACGACGAGCTCGAGAAAAATCGATAAACGGGCGAAACTTAAAAGGGAAAATGTACCACCCCTGGGCCACTATGGCAATTGTCATTTAACGGGGAAGACCGTCGAGGAGAAAGCTTTCCACAGCAAAAATGTACTGAGCAAAAAAATTTCGCGAAGCATAGCTTTTTCACTTTGCCTTCATCAATAGCAAAATGAAAGCAGAGACTATGTAGGGCAGGGAAACTCAATAAGTCCAAGCTTGTTTCTTCATACTGTTTACGTGAGCTCGGTTTTACGGTGTCCAGCCTGAATCCATGCTGAACCATGCGGAAAAGCATGTATTAATTTACCTCTGTGAAGGTAACCTCAGACAAGACCGTTTACTCCGAAAGCTACTCGAAGGTATTGGAATAGGGTCTACGGCAAACCCGAAGCAAAACAGGGTCTCCACGCAGGCAGGTGGTAGAGGCCCTAAAATTCTTGGTCTAGAAAGTAAAATCACGGGCGAAAGTTGTGTAATTAGTGCTTTTCATTAAAAACAAATGGGGGTGTAGTCGGTAGAGCACCTAACTCTGTGGTAACTCCTGCACTGTCTTTTTTATTCACTAGCCTACTAAAGAAATGATCTATTTTTCATATTTTATCTTGCGGAAACAATTCTCATTTTCCAGTTTCCCATATCCGTGCTTAGCTGGCGCGGGTGTGCGTTTCGAGCACCTACGCTACACAAAGACCTCTGCCCTGTGCGGGTGGCGAGGCAAAAGGCGATTCCGTACATATTTTTGTTGGTTTTTTTTTCGTTTATTAAAAATGAGTGGCCTTTTAAGGCCATCTATTTTAAGCTTCGTATAAATACAAAAATTCAAAGATTAAATAAAGAAAAATATGATTAAGCTGGAATGTATTTTTCCTTTGCTTTCCGCCGTTGTTACGGATGAAAAGTTAAGGCCAGGGTGGGTCTATTCTTTAGGTTGGGGCTGGGTTTTTAAAAGCGGCTGTGCATCTTGAAAAAAAAACGCACATCCGTAACTCACAAATCCGCTATTCACCTCTTCGTTTTAGGCGCACCGGAAGCTTATTTGCTAGATGTGGGCTTTGGGTTTTCTGCTGGGGTCTGTGGTGGGCGGTGCGTATCCTCAAAGGGGGCCTTACCCTTCCTAGGTGTCTTGGGCGGCACGGGGGCATACACTTTCTCGAAATACACGGATGGTTCTGCCAGCACCAGGGCAGCATTACACCTCGTAACCCCATGCGGCGGTATTTTTCTGCTCCCAGAATTGCACACCCCCCTTCATATCTGTACGATGGGCAAGTTCTAGGGGGCGAGGGTTTTGCAAAAACAAGCCTTTCAACCTTTTTATGCCGGCCTCTTTTGGCATACCTTGCAACTCAGGGCAACTTGGCTTTAAAAACCAGCTTAGTCAACAAACCGATCGATTTTGGATACGCGTTGCTCGGTTTGCGCCGGACAGTGCTAGTTAACCTTTTCGCGCCACCCACAGCGGAACGGCTCCTTTCGGGCCCGCCGCCCCCATTCACACTCTTAGATTGCATGCTTCTCTTCTAAAGCCGCAGAATGGGATTGAGAACTTGAGAAGGCGATATGATAGCCACGGAACCGACCTTGCTTGAGTAAAAAGTCATGGGGGCTGGCTGTGCATAAACGCTTTTTATTGCCGGATGCGTCGCTGTATCTATGATTTTATGAAATGGCGGTGGCGTTCCATTTTTCATTTATATATAGGTGTTCTGTTTGGAATAAAGTGGCAAACTGCCACAGTATCCGCCACAGGGATTTTTTTTAACTTGTGAAAAGAATGTGTGCGATGGGGGTTTGTTAATTATTTCTTTTGGAGATATTTCCTTGTTCATGATAATTTATTTTTGCCCCTCATGGTTGGATTTGTGGACAGAAAATAATTATGCCTTTGTGATGGTGATTAAGTTTTGAATTTTTTTCTTAGATTATATAAATATTAGTGCATTATTAAGTCTTCATTTTGTTGTTAGAAAGTGCCTTTTGAGTATCTAGTTGGTGGCTTTTGTTTCCTATACGCGGGGTAAATAAAACGATGCAGACGCACATCTGGCCGAATATGCGCGCCAACAGTGGGATGCAGAGGCTCAAATTACTTAACTGGTGTTTCGGGGTCCGAAACATCACGACGCAAGAGAACACTTTCTTCATACGGCTTTATTTTTCATTTTTTTATACAAGCGGCTCCCGCTTTACGGGGGGGCGGGGGTGGGGGTTCCGAGATTTCTTCGCGGATTGCAAATTTGCGGATCCTATTGTCCCCAAGTTTTGTTCAGAAAGCTCAACTTGCAATAATGGGGGCTTTGGAAGAATTTATACGTGAGGAAGGCGTCTTGCAGTCTCAGCGGTGGAACCTTCAACGCAATTACGCAGCCGCCCGTGCTGCTTTGGAAAAACGCGAGGCTCGAATTTCACCCAGGGCTTTGGAAGCATGCCATCAAATTATGGCACAAAAAAGCGAGACGCGGGTCGAAAAAAATCAGTTGAAGGCGGAGTGGGCTGCCCGAAGCCAGCGGTAGGGGAGGCCCGGGCACAGTTAGGGATTCAAGAAAAGGAAGTGCGAGAGGCGGGGGCGCAACCGGTTGGGCTTTTGTAACAAGATGGCGCCGGCCCGGCAACAGCATCAAGACGCGCCAAGTCGCTTCGCACCAATCGGCGTTTGTCGCCCATGAAGTTTCCTTCCGCGCGATGGGTGCCTATCGCGACGAAGGGGGTTTCTCATACTGGGCGTTTTACTCCCCAGAAGGCGCGCAAATACCACGGGCTATGCCGTGAAGGTGCAGAGAGCAGACTTTCGCTTGATGTTTGCGCGGGGAATTCTCCGCGCAAAGATTTTACAGAGAAAGATGGTTCTTACTAATTCCGCCCGTTCGATGCGGCGACCGAGGTTCCACGGATTTTGGCCGGCGACATTCCTGGGTTAGCCTTTGCAATTCGAGGCGCTTGTTTTTTTNAGGGGGCTCCTCATATCAAGGGGTCTTTTTTTCAATGGTGAGAGATTGGGTTGCCGACATCGCGGTTTTTGGGGCAACCTTTACGCATTTTCCTGACCCCGGCCGGCGCCCTTAAATAACTTTCGTATGGCCGAATTGAAGGCCGCAGGCCCCTTCTTTCCGGAACCAAAAGCCGACAGCGCCGACGCGCGGCAGCCCACGAAGCCGTTCGCTTTGCCGGGGGGCAGGGCTTTATCGGGCAGCCCCGGGGAACGCCAGGCTTAAAAAATTTGCCGCTGTAGATTTCTAAGGCATACTATCGTGACGCGTGGTGTGGGGAAGGTGGCGGGGAAACCGGGGCACGCCATATTTTTTTCCAGGAGCGATGTCAAAAAACTCCCCGGGGCCTGCTCGGCCCCACCGCCGTAAGCGGCGGGCTGGCGCCACCTTATTTCCATAAGCGGCGCACCCCGCCCAGCCAACAAGCAGGAATCGTCACAAAGACGCCCCCCCCCCGAAGAGGCGGCAGCGCGCAATGGGGAGGTCGCCTCCGGGGCGCCACCCACCAATGACGGCCTGTTGTGCTGAAAGCGTCGCCCCGCTTCGCCGATCCGGGCGTGACGCATGGGGGCGGCGCGGTGGCACACGTTGCGGGGGGGGCTTTCGGCGTGGGCGAAGCAATTCTCACTGGCGAGAAGGTTCGCGGATTTTTTTTTGTTTTTGCCAGGTTCAGAATATACCGATAAACGGTTAGGGTGCTGCCGGCTTCCTGGCAGCAAGGGAAGCACATCCCCAATGGCACTCTTACGAGCCATGGTATTGCACGCGATGGTGCGCATTTGTCGATCCCCTCTCGGCATGGTGGTTCTGGGTGTCCACAACTGGGCTGCCTTGAGTGATGTCAAGCAGGCGGGGCACCTTCCAAGAAAAAAGCGCGTCTACTAATCCAGCCCCTGTCCGGTTGTACAAAAAAATTAATGTTTTTTCGGACCCTCCAAAAAAAAGAGAAATACTTTACCTTTTATTCAAGAAAAAAAAAAAGTTTTAGGCTTGTTTTTAACTCACCAAAAAAAACTGTCGCAAAGTGTAACTTTTGAAAACAAAGCTAGGCCACAAACAACTTGGCACAATATTTAACACGGTCCAAAAATCCCTCTTGGGCGT